AGGGCTATGCGTACGTACCAAGAATGAGGGATTTCACCAAAGATCCAAAAGGGATATTTGGGAAATCAAAGGTTTTGAGGTTAAGGAGGTGCCTAGAAGCTTTCTATCTTCATCTCACGCTCCAAGAGGTAGGGTTTCTCCTACTTCGGTTCACTTTCTTACCTAGGGTGTATTTGGAATGGGGTAAGGGTATGGAATAACCTAGGTTATTGGCCATGGTTGTAAAAATGAGGAAATGGATATGAAATTTGGCCTAGACCAATTCCTAATTATGTTGGCATAGGAAATTACTTGTGTGATTTTCTTGGAATTTGATATTTTGGGCATGTTATATGTCATATATTATGTTTTGTGAATGAGGTGGAAACTCTTGTGTTATAACATGAATTGTTGCCTTAAAGGTGTTTGCCAAAATGCCTATGTGTGAATCAAGTTGTTATGACATAGTGATGTATAACATGCCTATAAAATGTGTTGAAAAGAAATGTTAATGTGTTCATTGAGATATTGACATTGTATTGATTTATGAAATTTATATGCTTATAATATAAATTGTCATGACACATGTTGAGATGTGTGGTTTAATTTGTCCATATGACATCCATTACATATGGGACATAATATGTGTTTAATTTGGCTCATGGCGTTCATTACATCGCATATGCACGGGAATACATCACATTTAATGGGTGTGAGTGCATGGTTGATATCAAACACCAAGTAGGTGGGTGATAAGTGGGCTCGGTACTGTTGGACCAAGGTCTGACAAAGTCGCACGGTTGCATGGCATGAAAAACTTGTGTCGGGTATAGCAAAAAATGCTAGACACATCCTCGGGTGCAAGGCCCGGCTACTAGTTTTATACACTTTTTACGGTGTAAGTCCAAAAAAGTATATCAGTTTGTGGAGCCAGTGGTGCGACACCAAAAGCCCGCTACCCAAACAAAGACACATAATTTTATTATATAATGATTTCATTTGATAGGAAAACATCCATGAATGAAGTGGTTTTATGAATATATAGTGGGTGTTGTAAAAATGATCATTGGATGTATTTCATCAATGATAAATGTAGTACACTTACATTGCATAGTGTGGTGAGAGCCAGTGAAGGCTTGGGTTGATGTGCGTGAGTGAGTCTCATCTCATTTCATGGCACGACATGATAGATTCCAACATGAATTTAATATTCTTGCATTGGAATGAATATGGTTGAGTGTTGTTGCATGTATACATTTATATGTACTTAGGTGCGGAGTAGCCCTTATAGGAAGTATTCTACTGGGCATTGGCTCACCCTATACGGGAAATATTTCAGGTACGAAACATATTCCGGTGGATGACACACATTCGGGACTTCTAAGGTGAAGAAGAGCCAGGTTGTGGCTCTTGAACGGAGTTTTATGTAAAATTTTTGGTTTAATTCCATTTTGGCATGTAAATTGTATAGAATGGATTGTAATAGACTTTTATGAATCATGTATAATGTAGAAAAATATCTTTATACATGTTTGGGATGGATTTGGAAAGGTTTTGATTGGATTGGAAATGAAAAAGCTGATAAAATATGAAATTCTGGATAAAACCTACCGGTAGCAGGCAATAACTACCGGTAGTTAACAGGTAGTACATGTTCGGCAGGCAATAACTACCGGTAGCTAATAGGTAGTACCTGTTCGGCAGGCAATAACTACCGGTAGCCAATATGTAGTACCTGTACAGCAGACAATAACTACCGGTAGCCAACAGGTAGTACCTGTACAGCAGGCAATAACTATCGGTAGCTAACAGGTAATACCTGTCTAGTAGGAGGAAACTACCGGTAGCTTACAGGTAGAACTTCTACCGGTAGTTATAACAAACATCTACCGGTAGCTCTTCCAAAAATCTGAAAAATCAAAAATTATTTTACTAACCTTTTGAACTTTATTTTCTTTAGTTCCAATGGTATTAATAGACATTAAATGAGGTGTATTCAGGCTCATTGGACCTCAATTGAATTAAATGATTAAAGTAACATGGGTTATACGTGTAAGTTATGATTCCGATTACAGGGATGTGATAGACGTGATGTCGAGCCACGCAATACTCACGGATATTTCCACGGATTGATGGATGGTCAATGGGACCCCGGTTTTAGGAGCGCCACAATATCAATGAGAATCACTTCGTCCTCGACCATTGTTTTTTGTTTCGTTATTTATGTTTACTGGTGTAATATCATATCTGAATAGGCTGTTGCAGTTGAGTTAAATTCAAGATGATGTTGTTTGATTATGGACAGTATTATAGTATTTTATGTAGTGAATACATACTTGTCTACCTTGATTGGTGAGGCTGTGTTTTATATAATGCTAACATCATTTTGTTGATAAACATCTGAGCAAACGAAAAAACAAGGAAGACTAATTGTTTATTTGGACAGTAATTAGTGTTTTGGTCGTTGAATTAATGGTAACGCCAAAAAAAATTAACTCGCACAATTAAATTGAAGAATTGAACGGTACGATTATGTGGCTAATTCTATGCTAAGGAACATTGTCTCTTTGTTGTTTGATGATTGCCTTATTTGCAATTCTTACATGACTTTATGTTAATCATACGATAATAGGAGCAAAAGAAGAAACAAGTCAGGGTGTTTACAAATAGTTGAGTCATTTAGGGCATCAGAGCTCCTAAAATTGCTTGATAGTAGCTCCTAAAATTGCTTGATAATAGATTCATAAATACCTTTTCAGATTTTCGTAATTTTGACAGCACAAAGTACCTAATGGCTATTAAATACATTGGGTTTTGACGTGATGTTATTTGTGATGGTTTACTTATGCCCTCGCAATGTCTGTTGTGATGGTTTCAGGTTTTTCGTAATTTTGACAGCACAAAGTACCTAATGGTTATTAAATACATTGGGTTTTGACGTGATGTTATTTGTGATGGTTTATTTATGTCCTCGCAATGTCTCTTGTGATGATTTAATGCCATTGCATTCCTTCCATTAAATATTTTGACGTAGTTTTATCATAGTGTCATATTGTGCTCTTAAACTCAATTAAGTCACTTTGGGTTTTGTTATGTCTAGTTCCAAAATACTTTTTTTTTATAGCAACTTGTGATATCCATCAAGCTAGGATTTCGCTTACATTTAGGTACGAACACATATAACATGACCTACTTCCGGTTGTTTGATAAACAAAAAGTGAGGACAAGGTGGAATAATTTTTTAAACTTCCATTTTTGAAGAATATCTGTTAATATATCCATTTTTGAGGATGTCATAGGGTTATTTGATTTTACTTGGTTTAAACTCATAAGGGAGAAGGTTTGTTATGATTTTCGTAGTCCATTTACCTACCTTGCAATATATTATCTGCTACATTTCTATGATACTATTGCATTGCGTTTCCTTTTCCTTGAATTTATTCAAACTCGAAAACCTTGAATTTGTTCCATAAAAATTGGTTCTCCTGCCTTCTGTCAGAAGTGTATTGCAATGAATACCATGGGCTTTCTATAACTCAGGACCAATCGGTTGGTTGCAACCACCACACAAAATTGAGTTGGTTCAGAATGAAGAGGGCATATCTTGTTGGAGACCGAGGATCAAAATATCGTTTTGAATCGGTTGAAACGTTTCCACTTACAAGGAGACCGAAACGAAATAGTGATGGAATCGAAATTATAATATTTCGAGTTATTCCATAATGTTAAATGTATTATAATATTTCAATGCATTTGCACAATTATTTTTGAAATGTTTCAAGATATTTCATGATACTTTTAATATACTTTAATCAATGTTTTAGAAAAATAATTCTTAAATTTTTTATTTTTTTCGTTATGTTTCTGAAACGGGTCGAAACGTTTCCGTTTCCTATGTGGCCGAAACAATACACCGAAACAATATTTTAATCCTTGTTGGAGACACATTTCAAGCTCTTTTAACAGTTCATCAACAAATCATTTAATAGCACAGGCTTATAAATTTGCTTTATTTTTTCACTTGGTCTAGTTACTTGCACTGGCATTGCCTTTTACGTGATATTTAGTGACATTTTGTTTTGGGTTTACTTTTAATTTGTTTTGTTTTGAATTTATTTTAGTTTTTCTTTGCCAAAAAAAATGACTAGTAGTAATCATCCTTCCCAAAAAAAAAAATGATTGGTACAGAATAATTGGTCCATGATCACATATTTCACATGCAGCTACTAATATTTCACATGTGCAACTACTAATATAAATATAATTGATTCTTTAATCAAAATGCTACAATGCCTAGAAATTTGAAGGAACCAACTATCCAACCAATTGCAATTATTATCTTCCAAATTAGAAAACGTACTGAGAATCAAGAAAGTTCTCCAGCAAAGGCAACTAACTAACAAGTCATTTTCTGGTTGTCGCCATTTACCGAGGATGTTAAAGAGAAGAATTCTTTTCCTAATACGGAGACAAATTCCATTTGTAAGGCACCCTTTTGATTACCTTCCATCTTTTCTAGATATACCACTTGTGATAGATTCCCAAACCACAATTTAAAAAATGGGAAGTTGCGAGTCTCGTGTAATAGACACGGACAATCATATCAAATATTCTGGAAAGTACCAAGAGCAAACATCTACATTAAGAAAGCATAATTAATTATTATTTGATGCTAGGAAATTAGAAAAAAGCGTGCAAGCAATGAGAAGATCCACAACACAGAAAAGACTACTCAAAACAAGCCAACCTAATACCCCACAAGTCAAATGCTCAGAATATGTGTACCTGGGTGGTATCAAACTACAAGAGGGCGAGGGGCGCAGTTAACAACAGTCAGAGTGAACAGACAATTGCAAATCAAACATCAACGGGTCAAACATATCCCCAACAAGCACACCAAATGTTGAATACCATAGGTATTTGGGAAATCGCTTAGACAGTAATATTTATACTTCATGACTTGATATCTCAGACAGGAATAGCTAATAAAACAAGATCAACAGTAGTATCACAAGAGACATTTATTCTTCTTCTTCGGCCTCCTCCAGCCATTTTATAAAAGGCTCCAAAGCCTTCACAAAAGCTTGCCTGTACATTCAGAAACAGCACATAACAAATTAAAAAAGCAAACCATTAACAGACCGAATAATTAGAGGTGGGGGAAAAAATTTAGCACTCAAGCACAAAAACCAGAGAAATTTCATTATTTTCACATACAACGATTGTGCTTCAAATAGCACAAAGCCAGTTCACTTTGGTTTTTCATATCCTCTAATATAATCATATAATTATATCTTCACATCACCGGGTTCAAGCCAAGATAAAGTAGGCCATTAAATACATAATATAATACATCTGTTGGTAGACTAACACAAAAAAATGAAACAAAAGATAAAGAAAAGAAAAATACGTCCAGAGACTAAAACAAGAATGAAGGGAAAATATTCATCAAAAGACCCCTACATTCACTAAACAGAGAAGTGCTTTTAATATTCCATTAAAAATGCTGTTCCAACTCCCAAAAACACCTTCCCCCCCCCCTTCTTCTCTCTCTCTCTTCCTTTTCTTATTTCCCCCTCTATCTTATTTGAATTGGCCCCTTTTTCCTCAACCGGAGATTTTTTTTTTTGAAGCAGGCAGTTTAATTTTATAGTTTGTCTGTAATGAATCCACTAAATCACTTACAATTTTCACAATAAGCAATTCATAATACCATAGGTCGAATTTCCGCTTATGCTGGATATATTGGCATTTATCTTGGTAATTGGGAACTTCCCGATTAACAAAACAAGTGGCACTTCATGAAAATACATATTATTAAAGCTTTAACGACCACAAGATATGACATCTTTACTATGGAAAAATGAATTTCAATACCTGCCCTTAAGGTTTGTTCCTTTACGGAACCAGTGAAGAATGGTATCTTCAGCAAGCACATCCTGGTCATACAGAGACCTCACAATTTCAGGGAACAACTTCATCAGCTTAGCATCCTCATAGCATTGGACCTGAACTTTGTACATGAGTTCCAGTTCGAGCTTTCCACTGGTGCAGAAGGTATTTAATAAGTTTGCCCACATTTTCACCTGGACATATAAGTATTCCCATTAACTCCTCCAAGCCAATACTTCCATAGGCATGCAATAGGTACAAGTCCTTGTCTTACATTGTTTCAAAACCCCCCAAAAAAAACTGCTTCAGCAGCATTTATTTTTTTATGAATGAGCATCACTTTGAGGCATGCAGAATGAAAAGACAACCTTCTTTAACTCACATAGAACAGATACCACGAGTTCCATGCGGGCGCTAATACAGTTAGCACCGTATCCATAACTGGTTGCCCGTTGGGCTGATCTCTGATGTTAGTAACAGCATAAAGTAATTTTGGCAATAGAATGTTAAAGCTTCTCCTCATCTTTTAGGTGCCTATTGACAAAGGTCAATGGGAAGATTACCTGATACATCACACCTAAATGTACAGTTCACTATAAGTCCCTCAATAGGATGATATGCTCGAGTTGGGGGTGTTTGTGGAAAGCAAAAGGGGGAAACAATAGGACATTTCACACCAAAAGACAGATATGAAGGTAAGGATTTATAGCATCGTTCCAATATCGACAGGTTCCACACATTGAAAATGACTTTTTTTCAAAGGAAGATAGATGCCTGAGAAGCATTAAAGCGCCACCTACTCACAGGAAACACTACCAGAGTAATATATTCCAAGAGCAGCAGAAAACAGAACAAAAGAAATACATGATTTGGTTTCTGCACACTAGACTCAAAAACCACAAGAAGATGGCTTCGAATCCTTTTCTTAGTTCCACCTTACGATAATACTCAAGCCAAAATTCTCTCCGAGCACCCCTATACTGCTTATTTTTCCACTACCTCCACCCATATTCTGACAAGCCTTTCTCTTCTTTAGAAGTATCTAATTTGGTTTTCCCCTTTAACACCATAAGTTAAACTAATTAGGCAATTCTAAAAAAATCAGAGTACATATTAAGTGAACTGAAGAAAGATCCTCTTTTCCCTTGTGCTATGCATTATATCAGTTATAAGTAGAGTGGTAAACATGTTAGACCAATGTCCGATCTTGTGCATATGCCATATCCTGTGTTAGACAAGTTGTTGAATTTTGATGAGTCCACGTAACAAGTTCCAAATGCATATCAAGCTCATGACGAGCATAGTGCTTAACCAAAGGGTATATGTCGAGAGAAAATCAGAAAGCTTTTAGACAACTCGGCGATGTCCCTATGTCCAAAAAACCTAAATTAAAGAATTAAACGCATATGACAAACCTCAAAATGTCCCTTATATGACATGCTTTCTTCATTTCAGGTAACATTGTTCAGGACTCCAGAATTTAGTATAACAAATGTACAATAAGAAAATGTTCCATGTTTTCTTCGAGCAAACTAAGAACAAAACTTTAACTTCCTTTTTCTAAAAGATTAAGAACACATCAAAAAAGCAGTAGCATATAAAACGTTAGCAAGATCCCAATGGTTCTTTCCCTACTCGACAACTTCAAAATCTATAAGGTGATGGAGCTCACAAAGTGTTTCAGACTAAGCAAAAGCCATTGAGGCATACCTGGCGTAATGCTGCATTAGCATTCTGCTGCTGGTTCTTACCAGACCATTGAACAGCATCCATTATGACGTCCCACAAAATCCTCACCACCTCAATATCTGGTAATTTAGCAGCTTTAACATGTTGCTTAACAGTTTCTATGACTTCAGAGATATCAGTTTCTTCTGATATTTGAGTTGTTAATGCTGATTTCATCTCCTTCATCTTCACCTCAAACAACTTCTTCTCATTGTATTCAACCAAGGGCAAAAGCCCAGCCTTGCTGAAAGAATAAAAAATAATTTGGAATGGATGAAGTTAGCTTGAACAACTTCTAGTGGCAAAGAAAGTACAACACTAACAGCATAACAGAAAATTTCCAACAGCCGCTCAACAACAGGAGTGAAGTTAAAAATCACTACTACCAAATAAATTAAGGTAACTTGGTTTAGATTAATAACCTCAATTTAGATATCAACAAGTAGCAAGGGTATAATTGAGAACCTTCTTTCCTTATGATTGCAAAATTAGGAGCCTTCTAGGGGAGAATTGTAATAACAAGATGACAAGAGTTGTTCAAAATCCATGCAACAAAGGATTATACAGGCACAAGAAGTCTATCAAATTAAATCTAGCCTCACACTGACAATCCATCACAACCCTTATATTTGTTGCATTTTTAGGAGTACAAAACCAAACCCTTTTATTCTAATTCAGACAACATAATGCAAGCTTAGTGAGCTTAACACTCATTACAATTGCAGTGCCTAGATGAAAGCCATTTTTACCATTAGCATAGTTCATATTCCAATATCCTGAAAAATGTGCTCACCACAGTTCGATAACAGCGCTAAGTTTTTCCTTTAGATATGATTAGAGTTGTATGGATCCAAATGTGCCTATCTAATTTAATGAAATAGACCGAATAGCAGCAATGCAGGCAATTACAAGGTTCCACCTCCACCTGCCTAGTGCTTCTAATAGCAGGGAATACTAAATGACATTTCTAAAATGTCTCTATGCACCTATTCCAAAAAACCAAGTAAACCTGGCACAATCCAACGGATTCATCACAAAAGGTTTATAGGGCATCACAAGCTAAAACCCAAACTAACTGTTTTCCACCTTAATATGAAACCAACATAACTTTTGAACCATCTATATCAAGCAGAAGTTTAGCACCTGACAATACCACCATGACAAGCAAACAAAAAATAATATCAATTAAACCCATAGAGAAAACAAAATGCACAAATTATAGCGGCATTAATTCATTACACTATATAGTGTGAATTAATTCAGGAAGAATATCTCACAACAGATATATGTCACCATTTGTCTTTAGTCATTATGGAATGATCCAAGTCCTTAAATAATTATCTTCTAGTGGTTTTAAGGTTTAAAATGTCAAACTTTATACAATCATGCATAACAAAACAACCAACAATTTACTACAAAAACACAAAAGTAGTTGAATTTGCATTTAGAGAGTAACCACAACTTCCAAGTACCATAGAATGACAAAATAAACAATGCAAGTCTAAAATAAAGTAGGCATCAAGCATCAATGAAATTCAAGTCACAATTAACACCATCGACATCTTTATCATCACCATTATCACCATCATTATCTTCATCATTGTCATCATCACCACCTCCTATGGTCTTATCAAACTCCCCACCCAAATCCTCCGAATCTCTTGCAACATTAAAGTCCTCATCTGCATCTTCCTCACTAACTTCACGAATTTCAACTTCCTCAATAACTTCTCTACCAATGTCACCACCGCCTAAGTTGAAGGAACCAAAAAAAATTAGAACTCTAGTGTTTAAAGCATATTCATCAATTGAAACTTGGAAGTTCAACACCTAAAATTGACACCAAAAGGTCCAAAACTTACATGCTCTTTCTAGAGTCCTTGCAGTGACTTCTACTTCATCGTCTTCATCTGAATCATACCAAGATGTTTCAATAAAGAACCCTCAAACGAGGAAGCTATATGCCTATATCTATCAGAAATTACAATTCAATTTGTGAAAGCCACAGATTGTTTTGGTGGCTTGGTCCTAGCCAGTGATTTGGTATTGTCTTTGCTGGAATAGAAAGTGACCAGGGTTGGGACTTTCACCAATCATCCATGCCATAATACCAGACCACCAACATCAAAAGGAGAGGGTCATCTCAGCAACCAACTGCCATCGTAGCACCCATACAGCCATAAGAGACTCTGTATGTTCGACAATCAGAAGCAAAGGAAAAAAAAAGAGGACGACATAGCATTATCTATAGACTAGCCAAAACAAACAGAGGAGGAGAAGAAGGTAAGCAGCATGAAGTAAAGAGAGAAGACATACCTTTTAAGCAGAGATAAGTATGAAGAATAACGAAGTGAAGAAGAAATAGAGAAAATAACCACTGCTACCAGTAGCCAAAGAAAAAGAGGGCTGACGAATAATGGAGAAGCATGAAGAATAATGCATATCTTAAGAAAGGGAGAGAGATGCGAGTTGTGAGCCGCTGGTTGATCAAATCAGAAGCAGTTGTTCTTTGTTCATCGCTGCAACGAGGAAGACAACAATGCATCATTCGTCCAACGAAGACAAACAGAGTAGTCGGTTGGGCTGCTGAGTTTGTCTTGCCCTAATTAAATAATCTGATTTGAAAAAAAGGCTTTGGGCTGGGCTAGTTATTAGCCATTTGGAATGGGCTGAGCATGGGGTCCTTTATTCTGGCAAAAAAATTGAATTGTCCATAGTCAGTTTTGGATCGGGATCCCCCAATTCTGAAGGATCCGGATCTCGATCCACCTGCAATTCTGCCCATATTAGATTTTTCTAAAGATTTGGATCGATTTGCATATTCTAGATTGTAGGATCATAAGATCCCGATCGTGACTTTAATAACCATGCGTTGAAGGTAAGCATCCAAGATGTAAAAGGTTATTTGAAGGAGATTTGGCTCTTTCGGTCTCTTTTCTTCTCCCGCCTCTCTCCCATTCTCCTCCTCCTCATTCTCTCTTAGAGAACTTACCTAGACTCGAGGAATGCCTATTTAACTCTACTAATATTCCACTTCCTTCTCTCTATTTTCTTCCTTCTTTCCCTTCCATGGTTTCTCAAAGAACCTAAAGAATCTAAGAGGTAAATTAGACACAAAGATTGTCACTCTACCAAGTGCGCGATGAAGTGCCCACCATAACGACCCAGCCCATGTGATATTAACCTCTTTAAGTTGCCAATACCAGCTTTAAATCGCATCACAACAATCTAGATAGAGATGGCATAGCACAATGACTTTCTTCAACTAGGCAAAGTGGGACATGTACATGTACCAGATACTGCCTCTCACCTCACCTTTTTCCCAAGGCCTCTAAGACTTTTGGATGGCTAGCTTTCGATTGTCACAATCCACACCCTAAATCTCAAGCACCTCGAAGGCTCAACTCATTCCCTCTGGCATCCAGCCAAGCATGTCACTATGTGGAACACATTCCACCTCATCCCCCCTGTGGCCCCCATCCAATCACATCTCCCAATGGGACCTACCCCATCACCATGAGATGAGTCTTGACTTTCATAGCACTTGTAACGACTCAACCCAACTATATGTGATATTGTTTGTTTTGAATAGTCCTCTATAAGTTGTAAACGTATTACAATAGTTGAGACAATCAATTACATATATTGCACAAAGATCTCCTCAAACCAAGCAATGTGGGATAAGTAGTTGAACCAAACATAATTTAGGCCTCGCACCTCACCATTTTCCTAAGGCCTCTAAGACTACTGGATGGCTGGCTCGCTCACTTCCAACTGCCACAATCCACCTCCTAAAGGGCCACATTCCCCCTCCAAAAGGGCCACATCCCCATATGAGACCTGCTCAAGCACCTCAAGCTCATTCCCTGTGGCATTCCGCCAAGCATGTCACCCTATAAGGCATGGATACTTTGATCGGGGTGATGAATATCGGATACTTATACTTGTCGGATACGTATCAGACACTTTCTGCATGTATCGAATAATTAATAAAATATTTCTCATTATTAGATACTTGTCGGATACACCTCAGGTACGCATGTCTCTACGGTGAATAAATTCGTCTTATACTTAATGAGGTGGGTTATTTGGAAACCGTGAATCATACAAATGGGGATTCCTTATTCTAAGATGTTCATTTAGACGTGTATCACATATATTACAAGATTTGTCAATTTTTTACAATTTGGTTGGCTTGAATAATGAGTTTTTATAGCTTATGTTAAAACCAATGAAGTCTACTGCAATTAAATGCTAAATAAAAGTTGAGAATTCTTGGAGGTTGACACGTCTTCAACTTTAGAATTACATAAAATCTTGTATTTAAAATACTAGTAAGCAGTCATATATTAGTAACAAATTATTTTAGTTTGGATGCGTTTTATTTCTTAATTCATCATATCTCTAGTGGTGTAATAACATTCTAATACATATATATTCTATATATGTCACACCACATCCCCGTATGGTCACATCCAAGCACATCTTTCTGTGGAACCTACCCCACCACCATGAGGTAAGTCTTGACTTTTATACAACGTGTAACAGCCCACTCTAACAGCATGTGATCCTGTTTGTTTTGGATAGCCATTCACAACTTTTAAACACGTTACAGTAGTTTAGTGACGCAATCCATAAGATGCTTAAAGAAACACATATTCAAAGATGTGAAGAACTATGGAATTGACTTTTCCATCAAGATAAAGATCAATATGAAACCTTACATTATTGCATTTTGAGTATTATTCTGAATTATTTTAAGTCAATTTGCTAGTAGTATTTTATGTGTGTTTTTGTAATTTCAAGATTTGCAAAAACGGGTCATAGTCCAACCCGTGGAATATCTTTTGAGTCAAATTCTAGTGTTGGATGCCCTAGAATTTAGAGTCCTAATTTTAGTTTATGTTAGCTTTCTAATTTAAAGTAATTTAGATTTTTTGGAGTTCTAGAAAATTTGGAATCGTAATCTTTTAGGATTAGGAGTACTTAGAACTGCATATATAGCTAGTGATATTTTTAATAAAGCAAAGATATTTTTAGAAAAAACCATTATATGTTTTTTGAGTTGTGTGATTCAATTCTAACCTTAGATGTGATGGTGAGATGCCTAAGGAACCCTAGGAGTGATTCCTAGTCAAATTTATTATTCATGGATACTGTTCACTACCACAAAACAGTACCAACTTTAATTTTGCACAGCCTATCCTACATCAATTTTGGTATCAAAGAGAAAGATCCTATGTTTTGCCACTTGAGTATTGATATATTATGATGAGAGATCCAAGATTTTGATGAAAAAGATGATCCTAAAATATTCTCTAGTTGACTTGCTTCTATTAAGGGTTATTTTGTAAGTATAATATGTCGGACAATCGAAGAGTAAGGTTTGTCGAGATGAAACTTTTAGGCTTGGCAAAATTTTAGTAGTTTAATGTTGAAGGAGATTCAATAAAATTGGAATTGTCATCAATCAACACATGACGAGAGATGAAAGCTAAACTTCTAGAGAAGTACATGCCTTCAAATTATTAAGGCAAGTTGCACAAACAACTTCCCAATTTACAACATGGCAACCTATCTGTAGCCGAGTATATTCAAAGATTTGATGATTTAATGTTAAAAAGTCGGATCATAGAAGATCCTCAACAAACAATTACTCAATTCAAGGCTGGTTTAAAGGCTGATATAAGGAGAGAATTGCAATGGCAACCACAAGATAGTGTGGAGCATACATTCCAAGTGACACTTGGTATAGAGATGTACCTAAATTTTCTTAATCAACGAAATACATCAAAAGTTTCTTCTTCTAATAGGCTAAAACTCAATTCTTTTCATCCTAATATGCAATCAAAGAAAGGTCGTCAAAAGTAATCCAAAGTGACAAGAGATCCAATAATTCACAGTGGAGATCAAATACAACCACCAACACAATCCCAAGCAACTCTGCTACTTATTTGTCTAGAGGCTAAGGTGCAAAGTGAATATCCAAAAAATTTTTTTTGTAGCGGAGCCTAACAAGATGGAAAAACTAGCAACTTGTATAAAACTAGATTTGCCATTAGAGATGACTAAATTTCCATCTAAGAGCTCAAAATAGTGTCAAAAGAATTACCTAATGATGACTTTCAATCCTCAACAACAGTGTCTCAAGCGCTTGATTTGTTTCTATCTTCCAAGAATCTAAATGAACATAAAGAGGCAACAATGGTATAATATCCTAAAAGTGATCGTGAGATATCAAGGTTACGCCAAATGAAGTTATCACCATGAATAAAGAGGGATTAGCAACACATAACACAAGATTAGAGAAGGCTACAATTGAAGGGATTAGCAACAACGCCAGTTCAAGGAAGTTCTTTCTATCCACTTTGCTCCAACAATTGAGTTTGTTATTCCGAAAAAATTCGTTGCTACAATCAAGAAAATCAATCTCCAAATTTTCTTTTTCCTCAATTAAAGAAAATGAGGTGTCATCTTAAAGCTTCTCACAGATATCTATATATGCAAGTTCAAAGCTTTTGAGATTTCATACTGCAACACTTCAAAACTTGAGGTTGAATTTTCTCCAACCAGGAGAGAATGATACAATCAATAAGATGCTCAAGGAAACACAAATTCAAATATCTAAAAAACTATAAAATTAGTTTTCCATCAAGACAAAGATCCCTATGGAACTTTGAATTATTATATTTTGTGTCTTATTTTTGTGTTAGTTTGAGTCAATTTGTTAGGGTTAGTATTTCTTAGAGTCAAGAGTATTGTTGTAATTTCTAGAATTACTAAAATGGATCATAGTCCAACCCATTGATCATTTTTTGGGTCAAATTACAGAGTTGGATGCCCTAAAATTTAGAGCCTTGATTTTAATTTATGTTAGCTTTCTAATTTTAAGTAATTTAGAGTTTTTGGAGACCTAGAGACCTTGGGATCCTAAACATTTAGGATTAGACGTACTTAAAACTCTCTTTATAATTAGTAATATTTTTAATAAAGAAGAGAGATATTTTCAAAAAAAAATCAACAATTATATGTTTTTTGAGTTGTGTGATTCAATTCTAACCCTAGGTGTGATGACTAAGGAACCTAAGAATGATTCCTAGTCAAATATACTATTCACGTCATTGTTCACAGCCATGTTACTGTTCTCTGGTACTGTTCACAGCCTTGTTATTGTTCTCGGATACTGTTCACAGTGCCTTAACAATACAATTTTGATATTGCACAACTGTCCTACATCATTTAGACAAATCAATTACACATTTTACAACGATCTTCCCAAACAAAACGATGTGGGATAAGTATAAGGGCAAAAACTTCCTCACCTCACCCTTTTCCAAGGGCCTTGTGCACTGCTCAATGAACACATCCACCATGCTTTTGATATTCATGAAGCCTAAATTAGTTCAAGTTCTACTTCTACCCACAATGCATTTAACAAAATGCTGAAGCAGCCCAAGATTACTTGAGCTTATGGCTCTTGCCAAATGATTGATGAAAATATTGTGCGAGATCTCAAGGCACAACAATTTGTACTCCAATGATGTAGCTTTTTGGGTGGGGGGAACACGTGGATAGTAGCTACTGACGTAACCTTGGTTCATAGACCTTTTGTCGAGCATGTGATGGGCAACCACCAACTTGGCATATTTGACAATGAACTCTAGTTCTTTGCATGAAATACTTGAAAAAAATAAGAGAAAAAAAAAAAAAAAAAAGACAAGGGAAGAGAGGTTATCCACAAAATGATAAACTGTATAATCCACTAGGAATTCCTTGAATCCATAGAATATAGAGAAGAAAGGAGGCTCACGGGCAAAAGAGTTTTAAGAAGTATGAAAAAGGATAACAAAAAGAAAAGAAAACTGATACGAAGGTCAAAAAGAAAAGGGTTAATTACAAAATGCCCCCTTCAATTTTGGGTAGTTTGTCATTCACTCCTTCAAGTTTCAATTTCAACCAATAGCCCCCTTTTAAGTTTGAATATTTTGCAATTAACTCCAACAATTAATTTCAGATCATAAAAATGATAGAAGTTAAACGTGGGAAATCACGTGATCTCTATTTTGTTGAAAAGTCATAACTACCCCCTGAAAGAGTGTGTTTTGGGTGGGTGGATGGTTTTTTTTTTTTTTTTTTTTTTTTTGGGGGGGGGGGGGAGGGCGCATGTTGGTCTTGGGCGGAGGCAAAAGCAAACATGTTGTGAAGTGTAATGTTTTAAAAAATATGGGAGGGTGTAATTGTAGTTTCATGGCTGTCAATCAATTTAGTCCACTTGAAACTTGGAGAGGACATAATTGGAGGGGAAAAATTATAATTAACCCAAAAGAAAATAAACTTAAAGAAAGTAAAAAGGAGAGAGAGAAGAAAAGAAGGGAAGGATGTTAGATAAAATATTATAATTGACAAATTTTGTGAAGTCACTATGTATCTTGTATTTCAACTAAATCCATGGTCAAGATACTATTGAAGATGGAAACAAGGCATGGAAAACAAGCTCAAGCTATATAGTAATACATCAAAGACTTTTTAGATCCTATCAAGTTTAGGTGAGATAAGTTGACCTAGATACCTAGTTGCCCTAGTTTGGTCTAACTTAGGTTGTAAAATTGAATTTAGAGTGAGTATTCAATTCATTCATGACTCGTGTGTTTTTGTGCAAGAAGTTTTTGAAATTTTAGGATTTTAGTTTTTGAAAACAAGTTTTGAAATGGGTTGTTGTATTGGGGCTTTTTTTAGGACATAATGACCTAGATATCTAAGACTCTTGGTTTATTTTAGATTTTGACTCATTAGGTTAATGGAATCGGATTTAGGATTATCCATGAATGACTCTTAGGCTTTTCATGAAAAATATTTTCTACACATCAAAATGTGTTTTGAAAACATAGATTTAGTTACGTATCAGATCCTATTTGAGCAACACTCCTTAAATCTAAATAAGTCAAAACTTTGATAGATTTCTAGTTTAAAAGCCAATAGCGACCATCATATGCTCGTTTGCCTTCGGTTAAAATAGTCTTTGAACACTTAAAAAAAAAATTGCAAAAGGCCAACAAGTTGCACACTAGAGACTGCCCTCTAGGCCGCTCAAGCGGTGTACAAACTGCTCGAGGGGTTTCTGCTCTTTTCGACTGTATTAAATCTTTTTCTCACTCCAGTACCAACTGTCCTCTCACCGCACTCTAACGGCTCTTAGTCTCCAAGTCCAGTCGAATTCCGAGGATATACAGAAGGTAAGCCTCTCTAAGCTAGGGAAACTCTCAAGAACTTTAAAATTCAGCCTCCTACATCTGAAAAAAGACAAGCACCACCTAGATCCCTAAGATCTAAAGGTCAAACCATCTTGATACTTCTTATTCAACCTCACACATTGAAAAAGAAGATTTTGCTTGGTCAACTAAAACCACATTAGTTGTGTGCATTTGAGAATCTTTGGTGCGTCCTAGAAGATTGTCAAGGCCAAGATGGTTCGTTTAGTGAGCGCGTCTAAGTGAAAGCAATCAAGACTTCGGTGGGTGTATCCAGATGAGAGATGGACAAGGAATGAAGCATCTAACCTGTAGTGTATTGATCGAGTTATAAGACTTGAATCCTTATAATTGACTTTTATGTTAGTGGATTAGGCTTAGGGAAACTGAGTGTTAGTTCTGTGGTTTTTTTCCGAAAGTGTTTCCACGTAAAATTGCTTCAATTGTAGATGTTCTTATTGTTGCTTTAATTTTGCACACACTTGCACTTTTGCACATACCATGAGTTATATGAATTGACACTTCATTGTTTTATTCAATTTCTTCATCAATTGAGTATTGTAGTGGTTGACTTGTTGGAGGGATAAGGTGGATTGTAGTGTCGGTTGAAAGATCGACATATTTATAGAAACATTCATCCATCCATGTAAGGTTATTCTTGAAATGGGTAAAAGTTGTTCAAAGCACAAAATTGACAAACTAATCACTTAATTTGGTAATTGTGGTTAATAGGTTATAAATTGATCTTTGTTAAGGCCGAAATTTTTAATTAACCTATTCACCCCCCTCTAAGTCATGCATGCGATTCCACATGTATAATCGTGTGAAAAGATCTTTACATTAGAAAATTTCACCCACAACATAAAGGAACCAAGAAGGCCACCAAAGATCAAAGGGAGTATTCCAAAAAAACGGATCGTGGAACTGAATTCATTACCTATTGAAGCTAATTGTCAAGACGCTTGTGGTGGATTTTCAGAGTGAAGATTCAAGAGATGAAGGCTCTAAGCATGAAATTGGTTGACATATAAGTCTTCAAACTTGTAATCTAAGTTTGAAATTAGTAGATTAGATTAGGTGGGACAGGAATGGTCCCATGATTTTTCCCAAGAGGGTTTCTTTGTAAAAATTGTTTGCATTGTGTGATTATCATCCTTTACATACCTGCAATTTTTTATTCCTTCTTTATGTTTAATTGAATGCTTAAGAGAGCCCAACTTGTGTTGTTGGCCATTTGAAGTGCATTAATCATCATATATTGGTGGGAGGGAATTGGAATGATAAGGTTGGTGAATTGTGTTGCATCGTGTTGTGTCAATTGAACTTTTGAAACACATTCACTAATTGGGTCAAAAATATAGGTCATGTAGGGGTTAATTTAATTAGTTGTAAAATTAATTGATAATTGCATGAGTTAGGTTTTATTTAGGTATAATTTTGTGTTTTAGTGCATTACACCTATTCACACTACGTTGTTACAACGTTAAAAGTCAGATCTCATATTTAGCACTCCCAAAGGTGGTGAGGCGGAGAGAACATATAGCTCTTGCAAACAATCATATACTATTTCTTTTGTGACTTCTCTCTGAGTTGCAAATTAGGGTCCCTTTAGCCTTCATAAAACAGTAAAAACATATAAAAACTACTTAAGTGTCCCCTAACTTAGATTAGGCTCTCGAAACCATGCCCAGATACTCCAAACGACCATAGACAAAAAAATAAAGTAAGATTACTAGGAAACTAATACAATTGCTGCCCTATTATTTTCTTATTTGAACCCGAACAAATCAATTATTATCTAAAAGACAGTAAATGTTTATCTTTTTTTGTTTAGATTGAAAAAGTGAAAGCACTTTTGCAGATGCATGATACAAATGAATGGGCAGGGAGGAAAAAATTTGTCTCATGATAGATTTCCACGATGATTCTAGAGAAAATGTTAAAAACATGGTCTCCTGGTGGCTCATTCAATAGATGTGTCACATCAATATGCCCTGTACAATTAACTAGGAGATTGTTTTGCATCATCTTAAAATGACCATTTCCAATTTAATAACATAAAATAAGGAATTAGAATGTTGGATTCTGGCAGACAACAAAACAAAAAAATTGTTTTTGCCTCATGTAAGTATGATGGAATGACTAAGGATCAATCATACACGCCCCCGACACTAAAACATGGGCAACCAGGGAAGAGTGATAGGTACCCTCTCTTCCTTATTGTAAGAAAGAGTGTGAGAGAGAGAGATAGAGACTTACATTCGACTTTTAATTTGAAATTTCCCAACCTAAAAGGTGGAGCTTATTATTACAAAAATGTAAAGATAGGTCTTTTATAAATAAAAGAACAACAAAAAAACCGTCAGTACTTGTTGATGTCTATAGTAAAGCTCAGCCATCATTTGACAGCTATTTTACTTCAACTTACTTTCTAAAAACCACAAAAAATGCCAAAGCATAACAAGAAAACATCAAGAAGATCCCTTTTTCAGAAACCATAATGCATGACGATGTGCCCTCATTATCCCAATGGACTTTCATTAGTGAAGAAACTAAGTGACAATAGGCATTAAAAACCTTCTAATCTTTGATCATATATGTAACCAACAAAGACATAAAATTGATATGCATACGTTTCAAACAAAAAGAAGTTTTTTTTTTTTTTTCTATTATAAAAATTCCTTAGATACATTGTGAAATCCAAAACATTCAGCAATACTCAGTCTTGGTGCTGCAGAAAGGCCATTGGCATCAAATAGAACAAGAAAATAAATCATTTACAAAGTAGTGAGCATCTATAAGAATCCACCTGCAATAGCTAGCCTTTTCGGAAAGAAAGACTTACGCGAAATGCTCAGAAAAAGCTTCAGCCGACCTCTTTGAAGATGGGAAGAAGTCAAGGAGATTGTCCTCCATTTTACCCCGCTTCAAAACAGAAATTAAATCATCAAGGCTGTTATCAATCAGATATTCCTTGAAGAAATCTGTTATGAATGAGAGAACTAGCCCTTTGGCCACAAGGTTATCCTTAAGCAGTGGCTGGAGCACAGTCTCCGGGGGGAGACCTGATAGCTTCTGCGAGAATGCAAGTGCAGTGAAAATTGCCAGCTTCTTTCTTTCATTTTCCTCAAAAAGTTCCAATGACTGCAGGAATCTTCGCATAACATTTTCAAGATTCTTTATGAGAAAAGGCCTTCGTCGCAAAATCTTCTGAATGTAGATTACAGACGGCAAAATGGCTTCACGTTTAGGCTCACAATCTATTATGGAGTAAGGGTGGCGCTCTCCCTCATCAGGTTTAGTTGTTCCAGGTTGTGTGCGTCCTCCTGTAAAGACAACCTGTAGTTCCAGAGTAAATAAGATTACTCCACAGTATAGAAAGAGTGTGAATCTAATAGGCTATGTGTAATCCAATTAAATGAAACACCAAAGAAATAAAAAGCATTTTAGGTTTATAAGAATTAGCAGACACCATTTACCTGCAAATCTAGGAAACTAAAATTATCACAAAAGATAAGCTCTCATGGACCTGAAAACCTAGTCAACAGCCCACATGCACTGTAAATTCAGGACTATATGGGACCAAGTTTAGTTGGGGTACATTTATGAGGCTGAAAGGCATACCATCATGTAGAGATGGAAGATGAATGCTTTAGAGTGAATGGGATAATTTTAAGGCCCAGTGAAGATAAGTAAGATCCATTTTAATGGTACAAGGCAGTATTCAAAAAATTTTATGAAGATCATTCACCTATTTTATGCTTCTTCCTTTGCGAAGAACTTCTAAGCCATGAGTAAGGTGCAAAAGAAATCAATAATGTGAAAAAATTTTATGGTCTAAAAATTGGGAGAATATCAATAATTAATTTCTGTGCAACATTTTTTCTTCTACAACCGCTTATATGATTAAAAAGCTTGATTTACAAGATATTCGTGATGTCTATAGGCAGTGTCATCTTCCGGATTAACTTCAGTATGCATAAAGTTTAATACAATTAAAGCTTGAGGAACTTTTTCAGCCATCTTCAGAAAATAAATGGTATCCATTGCAGGAAACCATTTAGCATGAAGCATCGACCAACAGATGCCATATCTTTTGACAAGAGAAAAGGCCATCAATCCTAAAAAAGACAAGTCTAAGAGAAGCAAAAGACTTTGACAAAAGGCATATTTCAAGCTGATTACATGTTTCTTAGCGTAACACCAACGAGGTTCAATGACGTCCCCAAAAACTGAGATAAGACATCTAAGTTTTCTCTGTCAAGGACTGCTCAGAAATATACAAATTCCTGAACCAGTGGAAAATTACAACTTTCTTTTTCTATAACTACCAATATGGGGTAAAAACCAGATAAAAGTGAAGTGTACCCAAAAGAATATAAAAGAATCAGTATTGCCAGGAAAATATTATTTTTTATCAGCAACAAAGTATTTTCATTTTAACAGGAAAATGTTATACGAGGGACAAGCAGTCAACCATCAAAGAAAAGAAAAGGGAAAGAACCTAAAAATACAAGTTACATTTCATATACAGATTTCCTATTTTCCCTAATCAAGAACAATGGAGTTCCCAGAAAATCAGAAGACACCAAAGCCAAGAAGCAGATTCTTTTCAACAATATCTCCTCAAACTTATATTCCAGAATTTTGATATTACTCCCTACCAAAAAAAAACCGGAGAAATAATCAAGACTACACATCCCCTAAGTGAAAGCTTTTTTTCCCATGCGCAAAACCACCCAAAAAAAATTCTCAAATTTTGCCATACTTGAAGCAGGTGAGATCCAACACAGCTCCACCAATAGAAATAATCTTCAAAACAATGATAAAGCAACCATACAATGAAGGAAAGCATGATAAATGTTCCTTCATTCATTCTACACATAATACACTACTATGGAAGAAGAAATTGAAACTAATAATTGGCATTAAGTCTCTTTTGAGCAATTGCTGCAAGAGAAAACTTGAATTTTAAGACTTTTGCTTTCCAAATTAACTTAAATGGCAAAACGGTGGTAATCTAGAATCATCAATCAATATATCGAGGAATACTTACAAAGAAAAATGCCCATAGAAAAGAATAGACCACTCCCATCTATTAGAAACTGATTGTCACATAGTGACTCTATCTCAGGTCTACGCAGTCCATTTGATAAATAAAAGTTCAGTAAAGTTGAGTGTCTCACATAAATTGATTCGCCTGCTCGACAACTCTTCCATTTCCATCCTCAAGCCTTTTAATAAATTTCTTTCCCATTTCCCTTTGCAACCCCATGAAATAATGTTGAATCAATATCTGCTTCTCTCAACCACTTTATACCTTTGTATTCTGTTTCAAGAGATTTTCTGAAATCACCTCCTAAAATCTATTATACGGTCAATCCTATCCTTTCGAAGCAATTCACTCAATCTCCCCCATCACATCCAATTCAACAGTCCTTCTAAAAATAACATTCGGAATTTTCTTAATATTACCAAGCATCTACTCATTCCAAATTTTTCGTTTTCTCCCATAATTTATATTAGCTTTTTCACAAATTTAGAACTTTCCCAACCTCATACCTCACTACTTCTCAAAACATTCCCCAAGAGAGTTATTCCATCTAGATATTTTCAAACCTAAAAATATACTTCAGACAACTCCTCTCAACCACAATTGAAAAATGATCAGGCACCACTCTAGAATGTGACCCTTGCCTCACAGTCAGAAACACGTCCCTTCACCCACCAGAAAATAAAATCTTATCCAATTCTCTACAACCCAAATTCGCTTGCAGATTACACCACATGAATCTTGCATTTGACAATGGTGGATCGATTAACCCACACTCCCAAATAAAGGAATCAAAGTCCACTCTTATAACATAAAAATCACCTCCAAGACATCCATTAGAACTGCATAATCCAAGTAAACTTGCTAATTTCCGAACTAAACAATCCAACAAAAGATGCTTCTTAGAAATAAAATAATTTTCGAAAATAAGTTCAGAAGTAACACATACCTCAATATTCTACTCAATATATATCTTCTCAACACTCTCATTTTCATTGGTCAGCTTCTCTCAAAAATCTTGAACCACCTTTCCATAAAACTCCACAATTTTCATCCTTCTTTCAATCTGAAGCTTCCAAAAATGTTTCACAGCAAACCCGTTACAATTGTTTCTACCACCTTTGAATCATCCTTTGAACTCAGCTTCATCATTGTTACTTTGCGCGTCTTATCCAATAGCCTCACTCAAAGCATCCATCTCTGATAGGATTTCATTAATACAAACAATCCCCTCATCAACTTTAGCAATCCTAGGTTTTGTAGGAAGTTCCAACCTATCCTTCAACAACTCACTTTTCTCGTTGCAGAATTCCAACACCCTTTTCTATAAATTGATTCGAAATAAATAATCTCTAATCAATTCACTTCTTCTCCAATCTTGGACCACCATCAAATACAAGTCCTCTTTTATCAGTTGTCTTCGATCAGAGAAATCTTCGATCGTTTCGTATCCACTTGCTCCCGACTCCACATTCGTAGAAGCCTTAATGTAGAAAAATTGTGATTCACCCTTTTATCTGATATATTGGGTCACCAAATGATAACTACACTTGATCCATAACACAAGGTGGTTTAATTCTATTTTGATCATTTGCTTTATTCAGCCCAATAGATATTAAGCACAATATGATAAAAAGCATTGTTGACAAAATGGGCACCTTTTTCAATCTTAAATGCAAGCCCAGTGTCACTATAACATTTACACTGGGCTCTAAAATTATTTTATACAACTTTTAAGCCCAATCCCTCCTTACCACCATTATTTTCTCAAATAAACTCATTTAAGCCCTAGGAAGCATGAATACGGATACGAGATAAGATAAGATACAGATACAGGTACGATACGATACGAATACCGCTATACGACAAAATCCTACAAAATAGGATACAAGTACGGCCAAGATACATCTATAAATATATATATATATATATATATATATATTTATATTTGTTCTATTATGTAATAATTTGATAGATATAAATTTTAGTGATACTTTAACAATAATAAAAAATATTAACAATTTTTTATTTTTAAAAAATTACCTATCGTCTTACTATGGTACATTTACAAAGTGAACATAACTAATTAAAGGGATAAGAACCAACATTTGACTAGATTGTTTGTTTAGAAATATTTGTTGCTAAAATTATAGAGTAATCAACTCATTTATACTCTTCATACATGTGATACTTGAAAGAGTTAGCTCGCGGGATCGCGACCCTTTGTCCAGGCCATTGTAGCACGTGTGTCACCCAAGGCATAAGGGGCATGATGACTTGACGTTATCCTCACCTTCCTCCAGCTCATCGCCGGCAGTTTATTCAAGATTCCAAACTCAACAATGGCAACTAAACACGAGAGTTACGCTCGTTGCGGGACTTAACCCAACACCTTACGACACAATGAATAATCAACTCAATGCTTAGAAGTATTTGTTGCTAATGGATAATGCTTGGAAAACACCCATGTGTACTCTCTTCAAAATCATATGGATTTTTGTTGATGTATTATTGAATATGTGAAATAAAAAGGAAACGGTAAAGATTAAAACTAAAAATTACACAAACTTCTCAGTATGTAAAAGTATCGGCGAAGTATTCATATATTTTATTTATTATTAGAGACATTTGGCGTGTATCTGATACTTATCCTTGAGTATTCGACGAGTATCGTATCTAATACGGTATCCGATACGAATAGGTTGATCTTAACGAAGTATGCATTCTTCATAGTTTAAACCTTTCTTGTCTTCTTTGATCCTTCTTTAAAATTTTGATATGGCCTTAGTGATATCATTTCCTTGGTCTGCCTCCAAGTTATAGAATTTACAACCTTAATAAATGAGGGCCCATTCATCAAAGCCGTAACACTAGCGCCTGGCCCAATCTTATTCTCAACACCCATTTAGTTGCTAGAAATTTGTGAAACTATCTCCTTCCTTTTGCCACGTTATCCACACCACCAACCCTCTCATCTTCAACCTCTCGGCAGGTGAATGAAAATTTCATACTACTTCACACTTCAACGCTTACCGATCATGACAAACAACATAGCCCCACCTTAAAAGCACCTAACTTTAGTTGGATATATTTTCCCATGACAATCCACTTCCAAAGACAACAAACTAAAACTAGAATCACTCCTACCAACCTTAATTCTTGCTTGAAACAAATTATTCAGGGGCTGCATTCTATCATCGATATCAATAAGAAAACCACAACATTCCCCAATCTTCAAAAAAAAAATTCTTCCTCATGAAATGGCAATCCTTCAATTCCAATTCATCCTTCGTGGAAAGAAACCTTCCTTCTCATTAAATTTACTTCCAAATTCATAGTCATAGTAAAGGTTCTTCCATAAAGTAATTTTTAGGTTTGCAAAATTTCAGCAACTCTTTAAACATGCTAAGCACAGCTTTATCAGCCTGGAAAGGAGTCAATTTCCCAGAAAATTCAGAATTTTGGCCAAAGGCACCTAAATAAGTTCTCTATGATACACATCATCACACAATTCTATACCTGTCAATCAGAATTATCTTTATTAGTAACCCCTACATACAGCATCAGCTATGAAGCTAATGCCCTCACCCCTTTGTTTCTCCAAACACCTTCCCTGGTTTCCACCAATGATGATCATCTTTCTAATCAATTCAACTAGGTTACTCCATCCACTTCCATTTATACCTTTAGGGATAAGCCAACCAATTCTCATGCCATTGTACAACAATTTCATCACCTTGAAACACAGTCTTTGATTTCCCACCATTTCAACGCAAACACAATATGAATCATAAGTGATATCAAAAACACTATCCCACTGAGTGTAGCACTGCAAGGACTGTATTGAACATATTTCCCATTGCATACCATATTGGAGTATACCACCATTGCACATCATATGAAACACAACAAATATGATATGCCATATCTTGGGTCGTGTTTCTCTTTTTCTTTTCTCCCTTGCAAGTTGTGTTTTTATTTTTATTTTTTTGGCTCAGCCATTATCACAAACCTTGAGTTAGTTGGTTAACAATCAAAGAATCCTTTTTGTGTAGTCTGAAATCAGTTTCTCTCTCCTTACGATACACAAAGTGATGGAAATTGCATACATTTATAGGTAGAGAGAACCAGTTGCCTTTTTCAACTATAATCCCATTTCCCATCATAATTGGACTCTAGGAAACTACTTCTCTTATTTGACCAATCCTAAGTCATTAGTTAAACTGGTTAGATTAGGATTGATAACCTTATCATTATCTGACCCAAACTAATTGAACATATCATGCTGCCCATATTAAGTCTTACATTCTCCCACTTGGCCCATATGATTACTTTACAATTAGGTCTAGTAAAGTTAACAGACGCGCACAATAAATCCAATCCATCATCACCTTAATTTGGTCATCATAGTACCACAATTAAACAACCTACTAATGCGAGTCATAACGGTAGCATATCAATAATGCCACATTATCCCTTCCATATATCACAATACTAGCAACTTGACTAATGTGATCTATAATTGAGAAGTATGTATAAACAGGTCCAACAATAATGGCTTATCAAAAGACTATTCCTCTTGTTATCCGTCCAATATCATACATGTACGTACATCATGGAAAATAAGAAATACTAAGAATTGAAAGTGTCAAATAAATAACCATTATACAAAACCACAACCTTAAGTAAATAATCATCAGGAGCTACAATCAAGACTCATTACATGAACATCTTTCTTAAATGCCTTTAATCACCTTTCTTTAATGGATTTACAATCATGAGCTTTGTACTTATGTGCTCTATTGACACTTGTTTATGAAAAAAAAAACACATGAAATCATCACTACAAATTCTCAACGATTTGGCAATAAAGTTGATAATCCCAAGTTCAAATATAAAATCCCGCAATCATAATTCATAAATTGTAGCCTCAAAGCAAATCACAAATTTAACTTTGATAATTGTCTATCACGACTAGACAATTAGACTGTCAATCATACGTTGTAAATACCTTTCAAACTTATGATGATCCACTTCAATCGTTTTAGTATTTTTGCAAAATCAAGTGCAAAACCGTTGTCTGACATGAGACACATAAGCGCATACATAATGTTTCCTACAACAAAAATAATTGTTTCCATTCATACACGTTCATATGCATTCTTTGCACATTACATAATGCCAACTTAACCTTTTTAATAGTTCCAAATTAAATCTCTCAAGAATTATTCCATCATATGCTTTTTGAAACAACCTTAACAATTCACGGAATCGATCTTGCTATCCCATTAAGTTGTCTGTGTACCTTTCATCTCAATGTTTATGGAGACAAATTTCTTATTTTCATACAAATAATCCAAGGTCAATCTAGGCAAGCCATATATCGTCAACATACAGAATCAAAAATATACACTTACTCTCACTAACATCCAAATATAAACTAGATCAATTGTCTCCTAATTAACAAAGGAAGTAATGGTATGATTGGCAAAGAGGGATGGGGGGCTCCCTATTATTAATAAATTAAGAAGAATAAGGAATGCATAAGACACAATCCCAAATGCAACTAGATCAACAAAATAAGAATTACCAAACATATTGAACTCAACATGAAGCCCCAACCAAAATGAAGTTAATAAACAGATCAACAGTTTGAGGTCAATATTTAGGTCCTAAGAGATTGAAGACCCATAAACTAATTGGATTTTCGGTCTTTTAGACTACAGAACATCATATCTTGCCCCCATCATGCTATTCTCATTTTTCATATTTTTAATGAAATGCAAACTTACCAATTGCACATAAAAAAATGATGATCAAGTGAAACCTCCAATGTAGAAAGTTCCCACCAAAATAGACATTTATAGAAGTGGACACATAGGTATAAAGATTTCGATAGTAATGTACAAATAACAGAGTTTTGTGTCCACATATGGGAAAATTACATCCAAGAAATGATCTTCTGGCATTCACATTACACCATTACCAGCACTCATCGCACATTTTTATGTTTTTGTCATAGAATGTTGATCAATATAATTCATGGGTAGCAAATCATTGAAGTCTCTTAAAGGCATATACATCTGGGGCTTTAATAAGCCTGAGCACCACCCATATAGTGAGGTAATATGAACAAGAAACATTTGTGGGTAGAAGTACATAGAAATGTCATTGAACAAGCACAAGACAATTAAATGTCATGTATTATTAGTATTGGTGGTGAACCACTAGTGATAATTCTGAACCATAGAGGTGAGAATTAAACCTGACGACGCAAAACTTATAACTATAAAAACCAAAATGATTCAAAAAGGAGGAGAGAAGAGAAAAAACAATAAACTCGCCTCAAAAAAAGTGTCACCGTATCTTGAAAAGTTCAGATCTGAAGATTCAATGCTCCTAGCGACAAGTTCCTGCACGCCGCAAAATGCATATTTAGGTGCATCATGATGAGTAATTCAAACATAGGCACACACACCCCCTTGTGCACACCACACGCGTCGGACACTCAACAGAGAGAAAGATAATAAGACGTTAAGACATGCATACAAATTTACCAGATCACCAGCATTATCCAGATAAATCTGGACCACTGCATCCGCAAATGCTGCAGGGTCCAGAGGCGCTGCAATATTCCGTTTGCGGGTCTTAATCCGCGTACCACTGCAAATGTGCACAAATTATAAGCAAGCACTAGTAGTCAGGACAACTAACTGGACAAACTAGCAACCAGTAGTTCAGAACAACTAAATTAAGATAGCAACCAGAAATGCACAACTAATCTCAAAACTAAAATAGCAAGCAAATACAATCTAACCAACAACTAATCTTAAGCAAGAACTATGTAATAAATGAAACAAGCCAACAAATTTTCGCATATAATTCCCTCCACACTCAAAGTATGCTTGCCAGTCAAAACTAAACAATATCATTAAGTTAGATCCCACATAAGCAAGTTCACAGATTGAAGTAAGATCAAGTAAGATTCATATGTGTGCATGTTGTTAGAAAACTGATTTTACTTAGCAAATTCCATGGGATCACTTGTACTTGTATCTCAGCTAAATCTATGGTCACGATGCTTATGAATATTGAAGATAAAAGCAAGATGGGAGGAAGAAACTCAAGCTACATTGCAACACATGCAAAGACTTCTTGGATCCCATCAAGCTCAGGAAACCTAGATACTTACTCGCCTTAGATTGGTTGAACTTAGGTGGTTAAAATGGATTTGATATTGAGTACAAAAATCCATAATATGACTCGTATTTATGAGAAAAATATTTTTCAAACATTTAGGGTCAGATTTGAAACTAATATAAGAGTATGGAGGATTGTCGGGTAACATCCCTAGGTGCTCAAAAAGTTGAAGAAAGCAATGTTTTAAGTGAGGAAACCAGTAAACACTACTCTCAAAATGCACTGGCAGTTGAGGAAAATAGAACATGCTTGAAATTTCAAAACAGTGATCTTCACTCGCTGACCGATCCAACAATCCACTGCTCACGCTGGGAGCAGTTTCTTTTCTAGTGGGCAACGCTATCTCACCTCACCCTGAGCACTCTATCAGCAAAACTAACTGACGTGTTCCCCAATTAATCTCTGTTTTCTTCATCTATAAATAGGGGACCGCTTTCCACAGGTCAAGAGAGTCTCCAGGGTTTAAATAAGCTATAGAAAATGAGAGAAGACTACAGAGAGGAATCCTAGCCTCCGATAACAAAACTCTAACCTCTAGTTGATCAATCTAGAGCTTTTTCAAGATTCAATCTACAACTTGAAACAGATCTTGTAGAACACCAAAACCTACATAGTCGAAGATCTAAGGTTTAGATCGATTCTCAGGTCAAAGAAAAATTTCAAAAGGAGGAGAGGCAGATTCCAAAGGGTGCATTGTGGAGCTCGATTTTGAAGCTAGCCATCAAGAGCTTGTTGTGGACTCCAGAGTGAAGGTTAAAAGGAGAAAACATCTAACCAATGACATGTTATTGGTTGAGGCACAAAACTTTAAACTTGTAATCTTTGAGACTAGCGAATTGGGTTAGGTCTGTTAGAGTATTAGTAGGGATAATTTAGTAGTTTATTTTATGTTACGCCATCATCGACGATGATGATGTCATCAGTTGGCAATCACCGGGATCGAAATTCCATGGGCTTCTCAATAGTGTATTTTGTTTTCGATTTTGAGCTCATCTAGTAGGTGATTGGTTTTTTGAATATTTTTGAAAAATTTCATCATTTTTATTTAAAAAAAAAAAAAAGAAGAGATATTTCCCAGATGGGTTTCCACATAAAAGAAAAAGAGGTAATTTTAAAAAAAAAAAAAAATAGGTTATCATTTTTTATCACCCTCCGTGCTCTATCCCAGAAGGGTTTCCAAGTAAAATTGCTTGTGTTGTGGTTGTGATTCTCTCTTTACATACTTATAATTTTGCATTCCTCATCTGATTAATTGAATGATGTCTTGAGAATCATTTTGCAGGTGTTGGCCGATTTAATTAGACAAATTGTGGAAGGTGTTTGGAATTTGAGAATTTTGTTTAAATCTTCAAATTGGTGGATTGGGTAAATTAAAATTCAAGGGTTTCACATTGATTGTTAACTTTTTTCCGATAAGAAACAAATACTTTATTAATGAGGGGAAGAAAACATTACAGGGAAGAAAACATTACAGGAGTAAATGCCAAATCAGAAGTGGACAAGATGTCCAACACAATGGCTTGCAAAACAAAGCAAAATAAAACCAAATCACACACCAGTACATCACAAAATGCTTTCCAACTCGCAATAATACCGAAAAAAAAAAAAAGATGCACAAACTCCTTACCCAAATGATACCAAAAAAAAATATCATAAACCTTCAACTTCCTCACATTTATCATCAAATATCCACCAATTCCTCTCCAACCAAATAACCAATATGGTAGCAAAAACAACACAAAGCCAAAAGGTTTTTCCTTTCCTACCTCCACCAAAACCTATATCATCCAAACAAAGCACAGATGATGTAGACCTTGGTGCCACCGAAAAAATTCCCAAAAGACCAAAAACTTTTCCAAAGTGAGTTTGTCATAGGATAATGCAAAAATAAATGATCTACTTCTCACTATCACCTTTACACATGACACACCATTGTGGCAAAAGACAATGATTCGGTTTTCTTCTTTGAATAATATTATTTGTATTGATCTTACCATGAGCAACAATTCATGTAAAAATTTGCACATTTAAAGGTACTTTAGCTATATAAATCTTCAATGATGGGTCAAATAAAGGTAGTAAAAAATAATCAATTAGAAACTCAAATAAAGATTTACATGAAAAAAAAACCAATAGAATCACCAATCCAACATCTTCCATCTAGAAAAATTTTGGGCCCCGGTAACATTATCAACCAAAGAAAGAACAACTCCTCTAAAGAACTCTGCACCGAACTTTAGCCACTTTGAGCTGGCCACAGGGCAACAACCTCTGATGCCCCACACTATTGCAATAGGAGGGAACTTGCCCATTAACCTACTTTGCCAAGAGGTGGCAAAGATTACCTACCACCTAAGAAGTATAGATACACATATAAAAACAGGTACGATATGATACAAATACGGTGATACAGCAAACCCCAAAAAATAGGATACAGATACCGCTAAAACACGTCTATAAAAAAATATAATTTATATTTGTACTATTATGTAACGACTTGATATCTATAACTTTTAGTGATTCTTTAACAATAATAAACCACATTAATAATTTTTTATTTTCAAAAAGCTACCTATTGTCTCATAATAGTATATGTCCAAACTAAACATGATTAATTAAAGGAATAAGAACCAAAATTTAACTATATTGTTTGCTTAGAGTATAGGGTAATCAACTCATTATACTCTTTAGACATGTGATAGTAGATAATACTAAAAAACACTCATGTGTCTTTAAAGTCATGAATTTTTGTTTCACGTATATTACATTAGATGTGAAATCGAAATGGGGGGTAAATATTAAAACGAAAAGTTATACATACTTCTCTGCATATAGAAGTATCCACATAGTTTATTGCTTATTGGTTATTTTGATGTGTATCTAATATGTCTCCTTAAGTATTTGGCAAGTATTGGATACGATACAGATACGTTGACCTTTACAAAATACCCATGCTTTATAGCTTATTAATAAGACTCTACAAAAACCTAAGTGTCCCTAGAATCCGAATGAGAATAAGACCTAACCAAAGATTAAAATACAATTAGCAGGTTAAGAAAAGATATATATATAAACGAGGAAATAGAGTAGAAAAGAAATGCTCCTACTGTAGGACAGAAGGGAAAGAAATAAGAGAATAGAAAAGAAGAATAGGTACCAAATTCTTGCAAGTATTAGGTCAAGAAACACTAAAAATTCTCAAAGAGAAATAATTTTTATTCTCTCTCTTTAATAAAAATAGTATGGATTATATCGATATTTATAAGCTAAGTTCCCTACCAAAACAAAAATCTACTCCCCTACTAAATTTCCAAAGGAATTTTATAATCAAATTCTAAAATTACAATCGTACTAAAACTCTATAATAATTCCCTAATCAAACTCTAACTAATACTGCTAGCCAAACAAATATTCTCTTACTAATATAATAATACTAAAATAAAATTCAATTTTCAATTTAAGCTCATTTTTCGATCTCCATCAATTCTCCCAGACTGAAAAGAACCCTGAAGAGTTGTAAGGGTAGGACCCCAAGAGATTTGAAGAAATATGCATCCCAAGAAAACAATATTGTAGATCCCTAGAGTATAAAATAATCCCTTGATGTGTTTCATCCTTCATAGTCTTGTCCTCATAAACTGATATTGGTGAAGGAAGCATATAAACTAGTTGAGACAAAGTAACAACTCCATCTAAAATGACACCCTTTGAAGTTTGTTGAACTTCATCTATAAACATCCATTGAAATTGGTTTACCAAAGATAATTGATGTATGATGATGAGAACTTTTAGGCTCATCAACGATGTATAATTTTAGCTCATCATTCAATTGAACTGAATCGTATGATGGCGGAACTTGTGGTGTGACTAGATGGCTATTGCTCAACCACTTGTTAATTGAGAGCAAAGATCAAAATTTTGTTTCAGTACATTATTTCGGTCACCTAAAAAACGAAAATTTTTCAATGTGTTTCAAAAACATTTCGATTTGTTTCGGAAATAGAATGAAAAAAATAAAAAATTTAAGAATTTTTTTTCCAAAACATTGGTCGAAATATATCAAAGTATCTTAAAATATCTTGAAACATTCCGAAACAATTGTGCACATGCATTGAAACTTAGTAGGCAATGGGGTATCGACTGATTTCTGGCGCGACAGTTGGTTGCCGAATGGTCCTTTAATTGGTAGAATCGAAGGTCATCCTGAGTACTTTCCTAAGCTATCTGATTTGGTGAATGGGTCTCAATGGTGCCTGGAAGGAGTATCAGATCTGTTAAGTAATCAGTTGATAGAGGAAATTGTTAATTCGGGTGTGATATTGTCTGATGTTCCAGATAAACTTGTATAGCAGGAATCGAATTCTGGGGAGTTTTCGGTTAAATCTGCCTGGATCTGGTTAGAGGAGTAGGGATTGTACAGGAGGATGCAAAGATTATCTGGGGTATCAAAACTGCTCCTAGTG